TATCTATCTATCTATATATATATATATATATATATATATATATATTCTCTCTGCTGATAAAGCTGTATGCTTTCTCAGCTTACATGAAGTCGAAAGTCTACATTGAATCCTTTAATAGATCAGCTGCTAAGAATTGTTGGTTCACTGTGATAGGCGAGACAATGTTTCTCTCCGGATTTATCTTGCATATCTATAAATCTATTCATTCGTTCATGCTTAGAATTTTGTTGTCATTTATGGTCCGGTTCTCCTGTTATTTACCTGGAGCTCCTTGATAAGATCTAAAGAAGAATCAACAATATCATTGATCTGACGGCTCGGCTTCAATCACTTGCCCACCACCGTAAGGTTGCCACTCTGTGCCATTCATGGTAATTGTACGTTATGCTACCTCGTCTGTTACTCACAATACTTGCCTGGCGTCGAGATCTCATCAATTTACTTTTGTTACTTCTATGCTAACAGTTACTTATCCCGCAATTCTCGCTTGTGAAACTCATTCCCGGCTAACGCTTTCGAGTCAACTTTAATCTGAAAAAAATAAATGCAATGTTAATCGCTATCTGCTCAACTCCTTACTGCGCTTTTCTCTTTCTCCTCCTTACTAACGTTTCTTTTCCTAATTCATCCACACCTTGTAACCCCTTAAAAGAAGCGGCTGTAATACTTTGTGATACTGATTAGAATATATATATATATATATATATATATATATATATATATATATATATATATATATAAGTAAGCAAAATTAATGTAATATATTTTGTTCATCCATTATTTTTAATAGAATTTATTTAGGCAAATGCTCCGTTTTTTTAATGAACAGTATTAATTAAATTGACCGGACTTCGTAGAAAATATGTGCTTCTGCGAGAGGTATTAAACCTGTAACCCCAAAGGGAATCATCATTTGATCTGATGTGCTGTTAACCATTCAGAAACAAATAAGCGTCTGGCTAGCAAAGTCCAAATTACTGTTTCTGAACAACAATTCTTCGATGATCTTTCCCGAACGATCATATCATCTCGCGAAACGTACCTTAACGTAAACTGTATAATAAATTGTATCTATTAAAATAACGTATAAACAGAAAATATATATATATATATATATATATATATATATATATATATATATATATATATATATATATATGAATAGATCGATAGAATATATGTAGATGCTTCCTGTACATATATACTTGGTAGCATACATCATATATAAATCTCTTTTTCCATGAAATTGTTAATGAAATTTTCGAACCTGCCTGAATGATTGTAATGTGTATATCAATTGTTTGTTCTTGTGTAAATTCTTAGTGCAAATTGGAATGGCTAGTGTCATTGGGAACCGTTTTAATATGATTGGTTTCTTATTGAGTTTAACGATATAAACAGTTGAACAAAAGATTCGCATCTGTCTGGAGAAAAGAAGAAAAGCCACACAAAATCTTGATTACGAACCATTCAAGCGAAAGACATATAAAATTAGACTTTGAAAATAGGAGCCTACTCTCTCTCTCTCTCTCTCTCTTTCTTTTTCTGTCTTCTTTCTGTTTGCACATATTTGCTTTGATTCTTTTTTATACCTTTTCCACCCGCCCTGTCCAGCGATTGAATGAAGTATTAGATTTTAATTCTTATCTCCTATTTATTTCTTACACTAACTTTGTTTTTCTCATTTCAACAAGGCCAATTCAAAACGTCAGGAGAAATGGTAGTGGGACTGAACGCTATACTATGTTTAATGTTCTAGGCAGCGGAATATAATTTACGATTGAAATACTTGATAATAAAATAAATATTCATAAGAAAAGCAGAAAGAAAATGAAATAAAGCTGTCTATTACTTTGCTATATTTTTTTACATATAAAGTATGCAAAACAATTAATTCATATTTCTAACTTACACGATTTAAAAGTATTTTTCACTTTTCTTTTTAAAAGACCTGAAGTATACCAACTATGCTATAAATCTCCTTTTCCCTAAAATAATGATATTCAAATGGCTTTTCTAAATTAGGACTATTTTCAATAATTCTTTGTGCCATTATTTATTCTCTTTTACGTGTCACTTCAGAGAATAACCGCCAATAAAATAAACTATTATTTTCACCAACGAAACATAAAATGGCGAATCAGTTTTTCTTCAGAACACAGATACCGATGCTTTAGAATAACATAAGTATTGTCGATATTTTAAAAGTATCAAAGCATAAAAATGGCCCTGTTGGATTTTACATGTAGGAAAAACAACATTCATATAAATAAGCTTTTCGAATAAATAAATCGCATGTTACTTTACATATTTATCTGGATTGTGCCAAATCAAATATTTCAAGAGACTTGTTCTTTAATCCAAGATATACTTTCTTATCATTCAGTTCTCTAAGAAAATCGATTATCTGTGGAAAAGCAATTTACAGCAAACTCATAAGATACAGTTAAATTCCCCTCCAAAATTATTGGAAAGGCAAGGACAATTCCTTTGTATTTGATTTTGTTTACATCTAAATGTACGTACCAGGAAATAAAAGCTGGAATCATTTCTTTGGGGGCCCGGGACTGTATCTGCCGACTAATTTATGTTGTAATAGAAAATCCTTAATAATTATATTCCAAAATATCATCACAAGTATCTGAGATAGGGAATGTCCATTTGTACAAGTTAATTTTCATGTCCCAAATACAATATATTAAATACACAGCACAGGGAGAGAAAAACGAAGAAATAAAGTCTTTCTGCTATCTTTTAATGCTAGAAAACTCATGACATTCAGGGATCATCCTTGATATTTGAATATCAGGTACTGATTAAATAAATGATATTTGAATATCAGGTAATACTTAAATAAATGATTCCGCTCATAAAAAAAAGGATTTTTTTTTCGGTGAATAAATATTAAACATTGGCTTTCCTTTCTCAAGCCACATTTTTAGAATCAGAAAGACTGATTTTTTTTATTCATTTAGGAGGATATCATGTCGATCCCTGATTTTACGGGCTTGCGTCCGTATCACAATTAAACATCAGCTCTCGTACGATCACTGAAATTAAGCATACGTCGAGCCTAGTCAATGTCTAGATGGGTGACATCTTTGGAATACCAGGTGATGTAAACTTGGATGAGCGGGTGGTGTAATGGATGATGTCTCGGAATTGTTAATCAGAGAGCCGAATTCCAATTCTAGTTGGGATCGCTTTATTAATTTACCCTTGGAAAAGGTATGAATCTACCTTTTCCCCCCAGATATGAGTTAATTAGTAAGATTTGTATCACTAATAAATTTTATATCACAAAAAATATTCTTACAATCTAAGAATATATCCTGGCTTTAAATAACCTGCAAAGAGTTGAAAAGCCGTAATAAACGAATCAGTCAATGAATGAATGAATCAATCAACCAGACTGTTATAGAGTTGTCAGGACTTGTGTCATATCTACACTACGCTTAATAAAGCCTTATGCATTGCTATATATATATATATATATATATATATATATATATATATATATATATATATATATATATATATATATACTAATTTTCACCCAATACACAGCCCAACATCCACTCACGGTAGAGGCTTACTGAAGAAGGTTGTTGTATGATTGGTAAGAATAAAGGGTAACAAGTGCAGTTTATGAGGATATGTGGGAAATGGTTAATCCGAGACTTGAAGAGGTTAGGATTGTAGTGTTCGGGAAGCATCGTCTTCTTGGAAAAATAGTTCTGAAATGCTGGAACTAATTAATGTAGCTCTTTAGAGTATGTACCATAGAAATATCACTAGAATAACGAGAGGCTTGCAATGCTTCGTCAGTGGAAAAGGAATTGTTGGGCAGAAAAATAATTCATCACCCACAAGTCCGCGAAGACGTTTTTGGATTCTATCAAAACTGGAAAATGAGGACTGGGCAGATCCAGTCAAAGTATAGCAGAAGTACTCCATTTTTTGTCTGATCTGGCTCGTGTAAAGTTAGAGTATAGTAGGCGTCAGGTATTTATTGAAGCGATACAACAAACTGGCCATTTTCAGCATTTTTAGCAATGGATTGTATGTACAAGTTCCACTTGTTTTGTTTTACGGCATATCAATCTCAGTGGGTTATTTAATGCCAACAATATTTTTAGGATACATTCGTATGTATAGAATATGTATTCTTTGTAAGAAATCGATTTGTATATCAGGTTTCATTGAAGTATTTTTGTAAAGAGGGCTTTTGTTGAGAGTCAGATGTTGAGAGTCAAATATATTGCTGGAAATATTTTTTTTCTCTCAGAAATGTATTGCTGGCAAAAATATATTGCTGATAATTTTCTTTTTCAAAGAAATGTATTGCTGGTAATAATTTCTTAATTTTTTAAATGCATTGCTGGTAATATTTCTTTTTCAAAAATGTATTGTTGGCAATAATTTTGTTTATATAATATTGCTGGTATTTTTACTATAAAAAACTATTTTTACACTTTAATAGTGTTTTGACCCCAGTTTGGAGGGTTAGCTATTTGTTCATAGCTGGGACCCTAACAGGAGATACCACTCCGGGTCAGGGTGGACCTGGGAACAATAGCAATTAAGAGGTGGTTCCACACTCCTCAAAACCCCTTGATCAGAAGCCTTACTGCCGGATGTAGTTCATCGTCATATCCAGGATGCTCTTGAGTTCTGGTATGAACATGAATATCACAACAATTAATTGTTTTTTATGGTTTATCACCATTTTATAGGTTATTAAAATCCGAAACATTTTTTGATTCTAAGAAAATTTTTTGCGAGTGAATATTGTATTAAAGATATTTGTAGACAATATTTTCCCGTACAATTCATGCTATTTAACCCATAGAAAGAAGTGATGGAGAAGAGGTGAATTCATACCTTTTCTAAAGGTATTTCTGCCTGAATGTAACGAAATCGATTATATTTCGAACCGAAATCGGCTCTCTGATTTCTCATTTGGAACCTTTATCCATTATACCAAGCACACATCCAAGCTTACAGCACTTGATATCACCAAGCATTGGCCTTTCTAAGTACTGACCAGGCTCGACGTTGCTTAACTTCGGTGATCGGAGAGGAACAGGTGTTTTAACGTAATATGGGCGTTCCAGTCAAGAGGCCTCCTTTTGGCATCCGTTTGGCGCGATAAGCGAAAATTGATTGATGGAACATTACTATCCAGATTATTTCACGCAAGTGTTTCTTCATGCAAATAAGAATACTCTCTCCTCTTCTGGATACACTGACTTTTTATTCCCCTTACATAGGAAATGTAGCCAACATGTTGAAAACCCAAGAAAATGTAAAAAAAAAAGTATCGGTTATATGAAATATCAAGATATAATGCCTTTCATAGTAAAGAGCTTAGAAATCTAACAGTTTAACATCTAGAAATTATCAGTCAATTATGTGCCGTGCGTGATACACGCTTAGGTGATCATGTATCTTTCGATACATGTCCGACGAGACAGATTTTTCCGGCAGTAGGTTGCCATTTCTTTCTGCGGTAGACCACTTGCCATCCTAGGCTCTAGAACTCGGTCTGTCCTGCTGGGGAAAGAAGATTCATACCTTTCTCAAGGGTATTAGCCCGTATGTGAATGTAATGGATTCGACTGGAATTCGAATTCGGCTCTCCGATTCCTCAATCCGAGCCGCTATTTATTACTCCACCGTTTCTCCTCCTATATAAGGAGTAAACCGCCCGCATGCGGATAGGAAACGCATTCGATAAATACATAAAAATAGAAAGTGACGTAAGAAAAGGATGTATCTTCTCATCGAAATTATTCAACATTTGCAGCCGGGCTATCTTAAGAGAATTGGAATTCCTACAATGATTTATTATTGGTGGACAAAACAGATATATCGGTTTTGGTAGCATATGTAGAAAGCAAATTACAGGAACTCTTATACAAGGTAGTAAAGGAAAGCGTGAAAAGAGGACTAAGCATTAATAGAAAGAAATATGGACATCGCCGAGTGAAAAAGCCCGACATGGGAAATCTAAATTGGAAATAGCAAAATCAAGGAAATACAAAAATATAAATATGTAGGAAGTATTTTAAGAGAAGACGAAAAATGCGACACTGAAATCCGATAGTGCATTGGGATAGTGAATGATGCCTTGCGAAAGTTAAGCAAAGTATTAAGAATCAAGAAAATTTCATTAAAAACAAAGTAAAGTCACGTAATATCAGTCTTCCTCTGTGTCAGTGATTATTGGACAAGATGAAGGAACCTGATGCAACAGAAATAGAGTTCTAATGAAAAATGCTGAGAATACCAACGTCTCAATATGTGAGTAACGAGGAAAATGAAAATAAAAAGAACGCTTATACTTAGAATCAGAAAGAGACATAATGAAGAAATAGGAGAATCTGATACAGGCCATATTGAAGGTAAGAGGGACAGAGAAATGAAGCAAGTAACATACCAAACAAGTTTGTGCAAATTGGTGATAGAACAAGGGTTGGAAGCTATATCGAAAAGATAAAAATTACTAAGGGCTACAAAAGATAGGAAGTTGTGGAAAGCTATGATCCCACATATTCTGAAAGGACGCGTCACACTAAGACTAAGAATTTATGTAGCTCTCTACTTTGTTTCTAAAATAATTTGTGTTGGTGCACTTCTCAGAAATCCGAAGTAGTATCGATGAACAGGGCTTCTCTCAGAGAGGCCGCGTGGCTTGGGCGTAACTTGGGATTTAAGCCCACTCCAAACCTCATGGCCGGTTCTCTGTAACGCTCTAGTAAGTACCCGATTCTTCCTGCTATACTCTACCGTTAAAAGAGCCAGATCAGATCGAGAATGCGGTACTGCTACCATATATGGGCAAGAGCTGCCGAGTTTTCACTTTCCAGTCTCGATAGTCTAAAAGCGTCTACGGAGCCTTGTGGGTGATGAGTTGTTTTCCACCTTACAACGCCTTTCCCACAAGCGAAAACTTCTCGCTACTCTATCGCTATTTACATGAAAACTGTTCAGACAAGATACATTCTACCTATTCCTTAACAGCTAAGACCTGCCATATCGAACATTGAAGTGAACCTCATTTATTTTGTATTCCATTGGTGAGATTTAAGTTCAACTCGAACAGCTTCTTTTCACGAAACACTACGACGCTTCCTCCATCATTATAATTTTAACCCGTTCTAGTAGGGTTAACTATTATCTTCCGCATATATCCTCATAAACGGTGCTTCTTACAATATAACCCTTTACCTCGAGTGGCTCTTGGACATTGTACCAGCTGAAAATTATTGTAAAAAATATTCAGAAACCTGGTATTATCTCGTTTGTGTGATGAAATATCAATGCAATGGTTTTTGATCTCATCTTTTCATTTTTGCGTTCTCCTAGGTTAACTCTTTTTTGTACGGGATACTTTTTCAAACAAGTAGATGTCTAAAGGGAATGTGCAAGTTTCACAACGGTTATCGGCGCAGAGAGAGGAATCTGTGTGAGCCAGGTTCAAATTTCAGTCTAATATGTCACATTCACTTGGTACTAATGCTTCGCGAAACTCCTCCTCGCAGCTACTGGTTAAATAAAAGGACAGACTAAGCACTGAAGCTTGAATGGTAGTCGTTTGGTTTTCAGAAATTCAAGGATGAGGTATACACACTGTTTCATAGATATTTAAAAAAAACGTGTATATTTTGGTAGCTTCTAAAACACCTAATGTATATAATGTTTATATATATATATATATATATATATATATATATATATATATATATATGAATTTAGGTAAAAATGGCATCGGTAAAAATGGCAACGAAAAAAATGGCAACGGTAAAAATGGCAAAAGTGGATAAATAGTTAAAAATGGCAACTGTAAAAATGCTAAAGGCAAAAATGGCAAAAATGGATAAGAAAATTTAAAAAAATGTTTTTAATACTAGGAGCGGGAACTTATCCCCTATTTAAAACAAGAGGAGAAGGAGCCTAGCTTCCCCCCACTAGAGTAAATATCTATTTAAAAATATTTATTTTAAAATATTGAGGTGTGTGGGGGGGACTTAGCCCTATTTTAAACTAGAGGGATGGGAGCTTAGACCCATCCTTCTCGAACGATCATAATTTTCTGTTGTCGAATTGCCATTTTTTTCCTATTTATCCACTTTTGCCATTTTTACCGTTGCCATTTTTACCCTGCCTTTTTTCCGCTGCCATTTTTACAGCTGGCATTTTTACCGAGCACCATATATATATATATATATATAATATTATATTTTATTATATTATATTTTACAATGGTTGTTATAGCTGGGAGTGATAGCGGGGACTAATTCCCACTCTCTATAAAATACTTCTTTGACAGGCAACTCAAATAGCCTCTGACAACTAAGCCCAATTCTAAGCCAATGAATGGGCGAAGACGGAAAATTGGCACCTCATGATCGGCTGATTCGGATAAATGGAGCTGGGCAGCTCAGGAAGGCAATCTATCTAGTGAAAGGGAAGCTCATTTTAAACCTCCACTGCAAGGAAAAAATACTATGGAAGTAATTCCAGACTGAAAACACGAAACGGAGTCCTGAAGGCATTTGGCTGAATACTTTCCAGCAACTTCGGTCCCAGATGTAGTACTCTGTGTTTCTTTGGATCTTGTCGGTATGGCCGAGAGGGTGACCATGTAGTCTGGGCATACCATCTAAATACTATCGTCCGGGTCTGCGTCCTGGATGGAACATCCCAATTTCACCTTCAAAGAGCTGAATTTTGACCAAACATGGCCCCACCGTTATCTGGCCTACAATACACATTCAAAAGATATAAGTCCTTGCAACTGTTTCTGTAAATACCCTACTTATGAAACAGAGTTAAAGCAATTAATCATATTTCTTTTCTCAATTTGAAAAACATGTTTTGCCTTTTTCAATATTAGCTTATTTAAGAAGTAATTCAATAGTTTTCTGAAGCTTAGCGAAAACAACTACGTGGCTAAAATTAACTTCATTTCAATCATCGGCGCCAGATAGAATGATCTAAAGTTGACTTAAAAAAAAAAAGAAAAGATAATTTCGAAACAACGCCTGAAAATATTTATTTGTGCCACCGTTCGACAAGATAGGATGTTTCCATGAAGCATTTGAAGATGAAACTGTGATTTTATTATCTGGCCAAATGTATGGAAGAGAAAGAGAAAGAAATTATTGAAAGTAAAGAAGCAAGCAAGAAAGAAGAAAAGCAAGATAGAAAGGAAGAGCATTAAGTGACAAGGAAAAGAAAATGAAAATAATGCGAAAGCAAAGGAGTAGGAAAGAAAGAATAAAAAAATAGAGAAAGGTAGGAAAGAAAGAAAATGTGACAAGTATAGAGAGGATGAGAAAAACAGCTCGAAATTGGAAGAAAACTGACGTAAGATTACGGCAGTAATATCTCCAACATAATGATAAGACAGTAGCTTGTCACTAAAGTCTTACTATTATGTAAGAGGTATTTGTGGGTGGTACTTCTGTTGCACAGTGTACCAAAAAAAAAGAAGAAATATGAGGGAGTAAAACAGAAAAATAAGATTGAGGGTGGGAAAAAAACGTAAATGAAATGCGGGAGAAGGAAAATAAATTAAAACGAAAATGCATTGAAAGAAAGAGTATATGTAAAAATAAAAACAAAATAGCAAAAAAAAAAAAAAAAGAAAAAAGAAAGAAAAAAGAAAAAAGGAAAAGAAGGAAAAAAGAAATAAAAAGAATGAAAATGGAAAAGAAAACTTAGGAATAATAAAGATGGGGAAAAACAATTCGGAAAGCATTGTAGGAAAAAAAAAAAAAAAAATTAAGCCACAAAAAATCCAAAATGAACACCGACTGAGATTGAAATGCAACAAAGAAGAGATTAGTAATTCAATTTTGGGAAACGGATTTTGGAAAGAAGTTACATGTTTTTGGATATAAAGAAAGCAAAGAATGACGCGAAATACAGTTTGACAATTTATTGACAACAGACTCGTCAGCTGCATATAGGCCCGTATCTGATATTGACAGAATGAGGAAAGACGGAAGAAACGAGGCAATTGAACATATGGATTAAAATTGATGTCGTCGGAATAATAATAATATTAATAATAATTACTACTATCATTATTATTGTTATA